CGTGCGGCGCATGTAGGGTAGCGTTATCCAAGTTCTTTCTTTTGTATGTGTTGTTTGTTTCTTACCTCTGAGGCACCCCTTGATAAAACTCCTGGGATATGCGTTTCACTGGAACAGTTGAAAGAGTCAACTTCTTCCTCTTGTTCTTAACTCCGGTATGCTACATTGTGTGTTTGCTCGGCGGAATAGAGTTCGCACACGACCTTTTAGGTGGCACAAAGGGTGATTGCTGTTGTATTTGAGGATGCGGTCCGTCGTGATCGGTTTTCGGTAGACTGTGGTTTGGATTCTTCCGTCGGGTTGCTTCATGAGAAGGATGTCGAGGAAGGAGAGTTGTCTATCTTTTTCTTCCTCTGGTGTGAATTTGATACCGGGCACCTGCTCGTTGATCATTTGGTGGAACTGATCTACTGTGGAGGCTGAGTATGACGAATGCATCGTCCACATAACGTATCCACAGACGAGGTTGTAGGATTTCAAAGGCTTTGGCTTCGAAGTGTTTCATATATATATGTAGATATATATATATATGTTGCGGTTAGTAGCATCAAACCACTTACAAAACATCGAATCATAACATTGATTCTTCATTGGACTGGCTCTGAAAGAGCTGTCTATCCAATGGTTACCCGGTGTTGCAAATAAGGTTATTGTGACGAAAATACACTTCCTGGGTACAAGTATATGAATGAACTGACAAAAGATTACCGGATACGCATGCCTGACGAGCGGCAAGAACCGCGAAACCGATCGTGTGCTTCCAGGGAAATTTTGTCCACTCATTCACATACTACTTATTATCAAATATATATATCACCGGCTTGTGGACAAGCATGGCGCAAGGTTTTAAATGTCATTTAGTGAAGATGAAACGGTGAGGTAGTTACGTAATCTCCTAATAATTCTGTGGTTGTCTCCCCTTGGTCCATATTATATAATGGCAGTGCGATTATGATACACAGTGAACGGGCAACCCCTCCCTACAAGACTGTTTGTTGTACATTGGAGATGGAAGGCATATTCAAAAGCACAACTGACTGATCCTGAGTCAGAAGTTGAAAATGTGACAAGAGGGAGGGAAAACAGACGGTTCCGTATTGTTGCGATTTCTGACAAAAAGAAAGCGGATTCGAAAGCCACCTATCGTTGGACAGACCCTTGTTTAAACCTGTTGCTTGTCACCGTAAGCAAAAGAGGAAGGAAAATGGACAAAAGCAGAATACTTAAAGAACCAAAACCTAGCATGTTGACAATGGAAAAGGGACAGAGAGGCAGTAGTGTGGCAATGTGCAAGTGGTTGATAGCCAAACATCAAATAGCGGTAACAAACAGAGGATTGTTTATTTTCACCTAAAAATTATCCGAGCACGTGTTTACAGTTCAATGTGGAACCCGACTGTCAGACTGACTTAATCCAGTAGTGCACTTCGTTGTGTAAGCATTAAAACTGCGGCAAGTGATAAATTACATGCACACACATGCACACGCTCACAACAAAACAATAGTGCCTGATAGGCTATTCATGCGATATTATCCGATATCATAAAACAATTTGTAAAATTGTAATCCGGTGTAGATTCGCAGAGCAGCATCTAGTCTGATGGATTTCTTCTATTGGTGAGGTTTTGGAAGTGGATCGCGAGGAGAGAAGGGCGGGTGATGAGTCATGCGATGGGTGAGTTCATTCTGATTGGAAAATGAATTCAGGGCACAAAATCCGAACAAAGGCCCCGATGATGTTTTAGTCCGATGTGCGTATTGTTATCCTCGCATAGATTGCTCCCAAACATTCGACTCAGGGATAACGCTTCTCGTCTAGATTACGGCTCTACAGGTAATCAAATAGAGTACCGATAGAGACGAGTACGAAACCATTTACTCCACCGAAAATATGGTTATATATGTTTTTATGCTGTATGCCTCATTCTGAGTCAGATCAGACTCGGGATGATATCGCTTCGAGTGCCGAGGGGTGTTATCGCTCTGTTGCTCGTTTGGGTAGCAACGGCACTGCGTAAACAACTGGTGTGAGAGGTCTTGAATTAGACATGTAGCACCCATTAGACGCACGTATATGAAAATCCGATACTCGCCATTAGTATTTATTTATAACCACTCGCATTATTATAACTACCAATCACTAAATCCTATTTGAAAATACAAATGTACGACTTTTGGAAAGGTGTGAGGGGTACACATACGACAGAAAAATTGAGCGATAATGGCGAAATTCTATCATTTCCTGTATCATTTCTTGTTAGCTTTATGGCGTTTGATAGACCAAATCACCTTGCGGCTTCGTACGTAACCGTTCTATCAACTGTTTACCTAATATTTTCAGTTTCCCATATCTCATGTATAACGGTTATGCTTTCTTGGTTGATATTAGTCTGCCTTTCGTTTGTCTCACTGTACCACTACCCATGTTCGTACATCTGTCGTTCTACCCTACACAGTCATACATTTGACACGCGGTGTTTCTGTGTGACCACTGCTCGTATTCCGGTGCGTTCAACCGAAACCCTTATTTCTCTGTGCAAATGCCTCTCGCGTTACTGTTTGTACTACTCGTAGTGATAAGCCATGGTTCGTTGCTTGCGCATCCTCTGTCTATTGGTTAAGTGAACCGGTTCTTCGTTCGAACGCACCGTGGCTAACCAGCATAGGTCCCAACTTGATTTTGTTTGAGCGGTTAGCGCTGAATCTGGAATCGCATTTTGCAATGAATGCAATCGGTCTATGCTTGCGTTCGCCATGCATAGATGGGAATTATAGAAACCAGCGGGTAACCAAATACACGTTAAATTATAGTTCATCGGTCTAATGACAGATGTGCAATGCTGACGATACGCAGCAGAAACGAAATCACTGTCAAGTGAGGACTATTCAATTTGAAATTTACGGATGCCATGCTCTCTACTACGTACAACGAATTCTCCCTTCCCACCCGATTTTAGGTTGGGGAAAAAACAGACGATTTAACGATTGTTGACCACATGCTTTAACTTACCAGCCATGTTTCTGCGTTCGGGGTGGAATAGATCATCCCGGGACCCATTGAGAATGTCACATTCGCGATTGCATGCAGTCCAATAATCCGGAGCGGATAACCAGAAATGGTCAATCCAGTGCTCACATTGACGGCATGCAAAAACCTGACAAGAACAAGCGACGAAACAAGAAGAAATGAACCGCAAGTTACGCTTCGCAAACTAGCCAGACAATTTCTTTTTCAATAATCGGCAATGGAATATGAAAACTTGTGACCATTGAAGTAATGCTGGTTCTTACTCAAGATCATAAGAGAAAAGCCGTCAACTGAAAAGTACTGGATAGCTGTTTTGACCTTTCTGGGTCTCATCAGCGGTGAAATTCTATCGACCCGACTGAGGAACGAACCCGAGACCGCACAGGTAGAATGCAAGCATAATATGCACTTGACCAAAGGGCGGCTGATCATACTGCTTCATTTCGTCTATAGACGACGGGGCACAAGTTATATCATCATTATCGTACAGCGAAATACCGTGAAGCGAACTTCACTGACCGCTGCCAAACTCACACTGCA